GGGGGGGGGGGAAATATGCGACACTTTTTTGGGGTCAACAATTTATGACGTCACTTTTTTTTTTTTTAAATCTAATTTTTTTTTAATTTTGAAAAAAAAATCTTTCTTAAATTAATTTTAAAGCATTAATTTGAGGTCGAAATTGCCTCAGGTATTATAGCTATCGGTACCATGAAACTCAGTTTTCTAATAATACGCCATCTTAATCCATTATGGGAAAATGTTAAAGAATAAATGAAAATATTGGTTTAGTTATAAAAATTGTATGCCTGTTTTGATTGTTTTTTTTAGGTGTGAAGTGACTTGGGGGGGGGATGAGGGTGGGGGGGGAGAAAGCCCGGTGATTAACTTTTTATTAAAGAATTACTAATTAAGTAAGGTGCTGTCCGCACCTTTTTTGTCTACGCAACTGGTTACAATTTAAATAATTGAATAATTTTATTATTACCATGTCCTATAGTTAATAATGAATTGTTTTAATTAAAACAAAACAAAAAAAAAAAAATATGATAATAAATAAAAGATTAATAAATTATTTCTGTGTTTCTATCCACTTAGTTAACCAATAGGTTGATTGATATCAGTTTCACCGGTCCTGTTATGTTTACAAATGGCGAACACGCATTTTATCTAATCACTTAAACTTAATGTCAGGCTTCATTTTACAATTATAAGCTCAGACGGAAAATATCTAAGTTTAATATTACAATGAACTAGGCTTAGCATAAAAGTTTACAAAGCAATGGTTATTCCAACGAAAATAAAATATATCGAAAAGAATTATGTTTTTCATTAAGCAGGCCTAAGCCTAAAGTAATAATAAAAATGTCAAATACTTCAAAAGTAAAAGTTAAACTACCCCTCAGAATAAAGATTATTAGTATGGGAAATGCAGAAGTTGGAAAAGTAAGTATGACATCTACATCCTACCTATTGCTTTTTTTTTTTTAATTTTAATTTATTTTTAATTTAAAAAAAAAAAAATTAATTAAACCATACTATTAATAGTATTAGTATCATAATGTCCTCCCCACTCTTCATTCACTTGAATCTGACTTAGATTTAACTTATTTAGCCTCCAATATTTTAAAAAACCATTTCTATAATTTATATACTTAGATGACATACTTTTTAAGTAAAAATTAAAAAGTTATGCTGCAAACCTAAAATATATTTTAATTTTAATGTAGTTATTAATTGAACTATTTACATTAAAATAATTACATAATAGTATTAAAATGTCTACCTGGCCTGGTATCCATTCACCCCTTCAACCGCTTCAATCAAAATTGTATCAAAAGTTTAAAAAAAATAACTTCAACACCATGCAAAACTTTACAGAATAAAATAGAAATAAAGAATAAAATTTTCATTTATCAATATTTTCAAAATGCATGCACAATTTGCTGTCTTGATAATTTTTGGTTTGGTTTGAAAGCCAAAACAAGTGTCATTTAGATATGATTTCAATGAAAAATTAAAATGAGATCTCCGCCATTGTAACTTTTTCCCTATAGATTATCTACATGATGGTGGGGCTGAGAAAAAATGCTTGTAAGCCTAATAGCTGTAAAAAAAGCTCCCTTCATTGCCTCAAAGTTTTGTTCTTTAAAATTTGTTATAAATGTTTTGTTAATGTCTTATCAGCCTGATGTGATCATTTAAATATCTTTTTTGTAGAATTAATGTGATGATCCGATTGATGAGCATCTATATATATAATTCACCAGCAAAGGTCAAACAAGACGGGTCATTCAAGACGCAGGCTATTTATAGATATGCCAGAGTGTGGTTCAATAATGAGTTCACTAGGGCGCAAAATATAATTCCCGATAACTACTCAATATATAATATATATATATTTTTTGTAGCGCAATTGCGTTTGGTGCATATTTTCTTTTCGGAAATGAAATCGTGTCAATTTAAGTATTGTTTCAAAAATATTCGGTTTAAAAGTGGTTGGGACATGAGAATATTAATATAGTTCATAAGATAAAATAAGATAAGATTCTTTTATTAATCCAAATAAATGGAAATATTTTTCGATTGCATTATACATTTTCAGCACATAAAAAAAACAATTTGAAGACAAGACATTTATTATAAATTATTTCAAACAGCCATTCAGTGAGTTCTCTTAGCAAAATCGGGGACTTAATAGATCTCATTAAGATGTGTGACTTCAGTGAAGCACACCAGTAAATTCGTACAGATTGGGGAACAAAAGAATTTTTATATCGCCCTGATATATCAGTCCTCGCCCTAATGGAAAGAATTCATCCCGAACGGCCCGATTCTTAGTATTTGTGATGAAGAGGGCGGAATGTATCATCCAAAATGTGTTTAGTTTTACAAAAAACATCTTTCTTCAAATAGTTCTTCTAGTGAAGGATGTTTAGTTTGTTTTATGTTCCTAGCTTTTTTGATTAGTCGGTTGATGCAGTGTTTAATATCAGATGTTGAATTCCCACATGAGCAGGTAATACTGAAATTAAGCAAGCTTTCAATTGTTGCACTGTAGAATAAGATAACGACTAGTGTGAAATAAGAATTGTGCAATGACATATCATGGAAAGGGGGGAAGGAGTGTAGCAAAATTTGCATTCTTAAATGTGCGTAACTTGAGTTCACGTTTTTGTCAAGTACCTTTAGTAGACGGGAAGTTCACGCACTGCTGTCGCCAAAGTTTGGCGGGCTCCATCTAGTATCAATAATTCCAGGTCAAACAATAACTTACAAATGTAATCAACTGCGTATATAATTCCAACTTCCTTTCTTTTTTTTTTTTATAATTAGGTTCATACACTTAATAGGAAGTTACCAGCTGGGGTAAAAAATAAATGTTAAAAAAAAGAATACAACATACAATTCTTACTTATGTTGGCTCTATTTAAAATATAGGTCTACCATGCTTAAACTAAGAAGAAAATAGATGCGGTTTGCATACTACTAGTAATAAACATTATGATTATAGCTTTTCATTAATTCTGGTATTTAATCAATTTATTATTTAATTGAAATTAAAAGAACGCTTACCAACACTAAAGTTTTTGCTAACACAATTATTTCACAACAAAATGATTTGTAATTATGGTTTACTACTCAAAATAGTTGCTATTGTAAGGATCCCATTACAGACATAGGTTTATTGTGTAGATAATGGTTTAACCTGGCTCAGATTATATGTTTAGATGGCCTACTGATCTAAAATTTACGCAAAAGGTACAATATCTTGAACGGCCATATAACTCAAAAAGTATAAATATACAGGTAAACCATACAGGTTTGCATGTATGAGTATAAGATGACAAGTATTGCTAGTCTTTAAAATTAATAAAAATTAAAAGGTTACATTTTTAAAGAATAATTTGATACATGAGAAGCAGCCAAATTTAATTTTTATGATATATTCTTACTTTTTGTTAAGGGGCCATCCATTTTGAGATATTTTTATGCCCCCACCCAAAATGGTCACATTTTATAACAATAATTTGACACTTTTATAGAACACGGTCACAAATTAATTCAATGATCTTATTTATTGATAGCCCCCTAATCACTGCTATCAAATAAATTTATGATTTACAGTGGTACCTCAACATACGAGTGCCCTAACATAAGAGATTTTTGAGACATGAGCGTTGAGCAAGCAATGTTTTTCTTTGAAATACGAGAAACATTTGAGATTAGAGGAACTGGGTCTGCTGGTCGGCCGGCTGCACATGACACACCAGTTGTGCCTCGTGTGTCTCACATTTTCCTGCGCCTCAGTCAGTGTGCTTGTTTGCCTCGCTGACGAAGCTTCTTTGATAAGTTGTGCTCGCGTATTGTGCATTTTTACAGTAGTTTATCACATTTATTTTTATAACCATGGGTTCAAAGAAAGTGAGTGGAAAGGTCAGTGCTCAGAAGAAGATGATGTCTGTTGAATTAAAGCATGAAAGTGTGAAATCATAGAAAAACATTAGCAAGGAGTGCGATTGACTGACTTGGCTAAGCAGTACGGGCATAGTACTTCAACGATATAAAACAAGTTCATTCCTTTACATTCTCTTTTATTATGTTTTTATACAATTTTTGTCATTTATAAATACATTTTAATTTTTCAAAAACACGTAACAAAAACAATTGGGGTGACATTTTGGGAGCTGGAATGGATTAATGGCATTTTAATTAATTTAATGGGGAAAATTGCTTTGAGATACTAGCAAATGGACGTATGAGCAAGGTTACGGAACGAATTAAATTCATATCTGGAGATACCACTGTATTATCTTTTGGTTTTTAGCAATATTATGCTTTGTTTTAGATGATCTTTACAATGAGCTAGCTTTTAATACCTTTCAGAGTTGCATCATCAAGCGATATTGTGAAAAAAGATTTGTGAACAAATACCTTGCAACAATTGGCATAGACTATGGAGTGACAAAGTAAGGCCGTAATACTTGGTCTTGTTATCTTCAACTCTGGACTCTTCTTTCATTGTAAATTTTAATTTATAAATAAAATCTCCGAAGCATCATTAAATTTTTTTTAAAATAATAAAATTAATTTATAATCAGGTAACAAAATGTGCTTAGCATTAGCATTCCTTTATGTTAAAACAAAATTAGGCTTTTTAAAAATTTACATAATTTAACTTTTGATAGTTTTAAAAATTGCTATACTTTAAAAACAAATAGTTATTGACTGGTAAGAGCACTTAACACATTTTTAAAATAGAAACATCATGAAATATATCTCTGAAAAAAATTTTTTTTTTTTCTTTTCCTCATCTGCAATAAAAAAACAACAAAAAAACAAAGAGTAAATTTGAAAGACAGAGACATCAAAGTAAATATCTTTGACATGGCTGGCCATCATCTGTTTTATGAAGTAAGTGAAATATACATGGCTTTTATACATTTATGTTTCAATTTACAAAGAGGTCTGAATATTATATTAATTAAGACATAATACCCAGCAGTTTTTATTTAGAGACATTGACACCAAATGAAGTTGCCAATTAAAAAAAAACAAATTCTGTAGAAACTTGATATCTCAACAGATACAAATACATGTTTTCCTAATTTTTCAAAGCTCATTTCATTTTAATTTTAATTTACATTTGAACAAGTTGGCAATATAAAGACACATTATTTTATATTAAAATGTGAAATTTCATGAGACCAACCGTACATTGTAAAACACTAACATCATTCTGCAAACACTTTGCATTCAATATAGTGGCATGTGAATTAAAAGAAATAAAAAAAATTCCAAAAGATCAATTTGTTTTTTGTATGGCTACAGAAGTATTGTGCCATGACAACAAAAAATGTAACTTTATTATTTATGTGTGTGCTATGTAAATAAAATAGTAATTTTTCTTCCCTGCTAAAGAATACATCTCTTTTTTTCAATTTAGACAAGATACAATGAAACATTTATATCCGAGCAAAAGGTTGAACTATTTCTGACTATATTTATTATAGGTACGCAATGAATTTTATAAAGACACACAGGGCGCAATACTAGTATATGATGTAAGTGACAGAGCAAGTTTTACTGCCCTCGATGATTGGCTGCAGGAACTCTCTAATGAAATAGGCAACAAAACAGAAATTGACAGCATAGTAGTATGTGTATGTGGGAATAAGGTAAGTGGCAGTCTAGATAAGTGATTTTTCAACTTTATGATGGGATGGGCTAGCATTTTGCTTTTTTCACCCACAGCTTATTTGCCTATTTATCCTTTATCATGCTTACATTTTCAAAAAGTATAAAAAATCGCCATGGCTCATTAAAAATTCAAGATTATAATTCTTTGCTGCAATGGAACTTATGTCATTATCTCTTCATTTCTAAAGTTCAGAATTTATCAATTGTAAAATATTGGTTAATATTTATTTTGGGGTTATGCTACACAGTGAAAGAAAACCTGTCATCACTACTTTTGCGCCTTGTTAATGATTCTTGGTGCAAGTCAGTTTGCGAAATACTGAGTTTCTGTTAGGGTCAGTTTGATTTATCGGAACATGATACAGTGTTCCCATTCTGAATATTTCTTTTTAAAAAAATAGTTAATTTCAAACAAGTGATCCATGTTTGTAAATGTGTCCACTGATTGATTAAATTTGATGGAGCTGATGTTTTTCTGGCATTTTTTTATTAAAATGAAGTTGACCAACCTCATGACGGACCTCAAATCATATTGTGACACCCTTACTTAGGAGAGACAAAATATTTTGGCTTGAGATAATTTTTTGATTTAAAACTCCATGCATTCACAAACTATTTAAAAAATGTGTGCATTTAATCCCTTTGCTTTTATAACTTTGACACATTTCTTCCTTATCTGCAATCATTCAATCTGCAATTTTTTTGATCATCTATTCTTCATTATTAATGCAGCAAAAGTAATTTTAAAAAAAAAATTATTATTACAGACAGTTATATTATATGCAACAAATAATCTAATATCACATTTCATTTCCCATCCCTGAATTCATGCAAACTCTTTGCCAATTACTCGTTTTCGTGCCATAAGAAAGATGTCATGATTCCAAACTATTCATACATAATAATTTAATAAACATTTAACCAATAAGATTATTTTTCTATCCTGCAATTTATTATGCAACATGGAAACCTGCTCTGAAAATGTGACAGATGAGCTCATTCTTGCACCTGCTTAAGAATGCTGCTCAAGATTGGCAGAGAATTTTATTTGAACTTGTCAGCGCAATAGCTTTGGTTTTAAAATGGCCAATAAGTTAAATTTGGAATATGCTTGGAACTTGACAAATTTTTCCGAACAAATATTGTGTCCATGATACATGACTGTGATTTCCCTCCTCTTTGAGGCACCATGTTGCGGCACACCTAACTTGATCTCCAATCAAACCAGTTTCCACGGCACCCCGATTGCGATGCTACGCACTTGTTAATAACCATAACATTACACTTTGAAAACAAAAATTGTTGAAAAGATTTTTGTGCAAAATGTCTTACAGGCTTAGGGTCTTGTGTTTGTGGGAGATTAAAAAATCAAAGTCAGCTCACCAATAGAAACCTTTCCATTTCAAAATCTGGATATTTTTTTTTCGATCAATTTAAATGTCTTTTGAACTTATCTAAAATGAATGTTATTTTGAAATTATTACTTTATTATTTAAAATTGTAATGCCAAGTCACATGCCTAAACAAACCAGGTATTTTCTTACTGTACCAATTCTTTTGGTGTTGCCCATTTTCTTCTTTAAGATTGTGATCTGATACAACATAATAATATTTTTTTATTTTTTAGACTGATTTAAGACGCCAAGTTGATGAATCTGAAGGGCAACTGTGGGCAGACTCTCATGGCTTTCATTTCTTTGAAACTTCAGCTATGTCTGGAGAAGGTGTCAATGAGATGTTTCAGGTAAAATCTCTGGAAGATTTCTTGTTTCTAATGATGAAATTAAAAAAAAAAAATATATATATATTTTTTTTTAAAGAAAAATTTAAGGTTAATTTAATGTTTTGAATATCTTTTTAACCACAAGATGCTGTTTGAAGGAGTTGTAAGAACTTGTGACAACGGAGGAAGAAGGGAGCCGATAGGGACTCAGCTTGGGTATACCAAGGAACAGATAGAAGCCATCCAGAAATTGAGGAATGCAAAGAGTGATTATGAAAGATTAGGCCTCACCCCTGGAGCCTCAAAGTATGTTTTAGTTCCTTTTCTGGTTTCACATAGAAATGGCTGAATCTTAATATAGTTAAGAACACAAAATACTGATCAAGGAAAACGTTCTATTTTAGCTGTTAGTGTTGTATGCATACAAGAATTAGCACTTTGGCTCAACTAGCTATGAGTGAATTTTGTTAAATTGCCAAAACAGTTTAAATCTTGTATTTTAATATTTAAATATTTTAATGACATTGTATCAATAATTCCATTCAAAGCTAATCAGATAGCCATTGAAGCCAAATGTCTTGAATGAATGCTTAGAATGCACATAGCCATTGAAGCCAAATGTCTTGAATGAATGCTTAGAATGCACATAGCCATTGAAGCCAAATGTCTTGAATGAATGCTTAGAATGCACATAGCTATTGAAGCCAAATGTCTTGAATGAATGCTTAGAATGCACATAGCCATTGAAGCCAAATGTCTTGAATGAATGCTTAGAATGCACATAGCTATTGAAGGCAAATGTCTTGAATGAATGCTTAGAATGCACAAAGAGGTGTCGACTTCAAATCTCCACATAAGCGTAACAAATCCACACACCATCATGGCATGGAAACTCATTGACAGTACTGACGTGCTGAGTAGGTTCAACTATTGCTGATTACTTGTCATGACATCTTGATCATTATTTATAGCAGGCCTGCACAACATATGTCCCACTGGCCGAGCGGCGCATGCTTCCATTTTGCAGCCTGCAAAGAAACGAAATATTCTTTTTTATTTCCCCCTGTCGTATCTTCTTTCAGCCCACACAAGTTTTTCATAAAGTATTACGGCCCTTCTTACATTTTGAGTTGTGCAGGCCTTACTTACCTTCAATTGAGATGCTTTCTTAGTGCAACGGAATGAATTCCTCTAGATTATTTATTTATGGCATTTACCCAAATCAGCAATGGTGTAAATGTATATTTGAAAACCATAATATGTTTATACTTTCTGCTGCAAATGGCAGTAATGTCAACAGAGCCACTATCCCATTCATGTAAACAAGTCAAATGTGAATGTCAGCAGTGTCATGGTTACCTCCTAAATGGACCAATCAAAGCGGTTAAAAAAAATATAACCCAGATTAATGGTACACTCACTATTTTTCTGGATCCAATTGCTTTTGGCAAATACAGTTACTGCCTTCTATTCCAACTATTAAAATACTGCTTGAATTTCCTTGCCATTGATATATAACAAATAGCATATGATGTTATTTTTAAAAAAAATATTTTTTTTTATGTCAATTTCCAACAATTTTGCCAATTTTTAAAGTGGTGTGGTGTATTTAATATCAAATTTTGCATATTGCAACATAATAACTTTGTATGTTCTAGTTTGATTTTGGATGGAATAAATACAAACAAATGTATAGATATAACGGACAAGTGTTTATTTAGCAATGTTGGAAGGGTCGTTTTTTTTATTCTGTGCATAATAAAATTGTTTATAAAGTTAGGACAATAGTAAATATAATTATTCAACACAAAAGTGAGCACATATATCCTGTACTACAAGTGAAGTTGTTAATTTATAATGTATATTTAGTCTTATTGAAATTATAGTGCAAGTGACTAGTTACATTCAAGTTAAACTGTTACACATATCATATTGTTTTTAAAGCAGTGGACAAACATGTATGTGTAATCGATTCTAAGAATGTTGATCTTCGTAAAATTGAAAGAACCATTGAAAAATTAAGATATCATTTTGTAACCTTTGAACTTGCTCTCTTCAGAGATGATGTGAACAGAGCCTACAGAAAGTTGGCTGTCCTGCTCCATCCAGACAAAAGTGTGGCTCCAGGAAGTGAAGACGCATTTAAACTTCTTGTGTCAGCTCGAACAGCTTTACTCAAACGATGCTGACAGGGGCCCACTAAGTCATTTGTATTTTCAATGCATGATGTATTTATCATACCTTTCCAAATTAATGTAAGAATGGCTTTTCCCTTAAATTTATCAATTGTAGGACATAATTACAAAGTGGCCTGATTTTGATGTATATTTTTTTCTAAAAATGGCTGAGAGATATACCTAAACAAAATTTTTTTTGAGCAGATAATGGCCAACCTATTGAATACAGAATCTCATTCACAAATAAAAAATATTATGCTGCCTACATAGTCATAGAAAAAATACTTGTAAAAAAAAAAAAATTGCACAAAATCAATGCCAAATGCATGTCCTACAAAATATAATCTACAGTTTTTTTTATACCTCTCAATAAAATGAGCATTTCTTTATGCTACTATGAATGCCGTAAATGGTAAGGCTTTTCATGACTTTAGAAATCCCTACATGCCTTCATAACATCAGGTGGTTAGTCTTAAACAAGAGCACTCTTTGTTTAGTTGTAAAAATTGCAACAAAAAAAAAAAAAAAAAGGTAAAACTTTTAAAAATTAAAATTAAATATGTTAAGTAATTAATTTATAAGCATCACCCCCCTTTTTTATGTATAAAATGGTAAGGCTTTTCATGACTTTAAAAATCCCTACATGTCTTCATAACATCAGGTGGTTAGTCTTAAACAAGAGCACTCTTTGTTTAGTTGTAAAAATTGCAACAAAAAAAAAAAAAAAGGTAAAACTTTTAAAAATTAAAATTAAATATGTTAAGTAATTAATTTATAAGCATCACCCCCCTTTTTTATGTATATATAAATCATACTTTGAGAAAATGTTTTGCATCCATCCATTTTTTCTTTTCTTAATCCTTTTTGTAAAGCAATGTATTTGTAGTAAATTCTTTTCAATGTAAATGAAGCTTTTATGTGATATCCCAACCCAATGTGAATTAGCTACAGCTTGTGATGATTGAATATTTATTAATGTGTTGTAGATGTGTGAATTTTCTGGTATGCATCAAGATTTTGTGATGTAAATAGAAAGGTCATTTCTTCAATGACCAGTTTTTTAATTATTTGACATTAAGGGTAAGCTTTAATGTGGTACAATATTGGTATTCAAGGAACATGAAATTAAAGTAATTAGCCCCCTTTTTCAAAAATTTTAATCAAACCAAATTAGATTTTTTTTTCCTTTTCATATATTTTACAATACTGATGATTAAGATCATGTTTATATTCAGTCTACATTTAAATATTTGAACATTATTTTTTTTAATAGATGTGTAAATTTGATGAACATTTTACTTGTATTTTGATTAATTAATATTTAATTTGGGTGAAAGTTACTTTTCAATTAAATTTGCATTGGTAAATCTGAGCACCCATTGGACTAGCTCATATTTTTTAATTCAAGATAAAACATCTACAATTGCTTCTATATTCATAATAAGGTCTACATCAGGATGAAATTTAAAACCAAAATTCCTATTTCAGACTTATTATTTAAATGGAGTACCTTGTAGAGATTTTATGGTGCAATATATGGCAGATTCAAATTGTTATTAAAATACTGCCATACATTAATTACATTTTTTTAAAGAATAGTAAAGGTGTAGAAATAATTTGCTGAAACTCAAGTTTTTAAATGCTCCTGAAATTAAATCTCACTATGTTCCAATAGTTTTTTCTTTTTTTTTTTTGCTAGAGAGGTAACAATTCTTTTATCTCTAGGAGAACAGCCCCCTGTACCGTCTTATTGTTACTGATCTAAGGAGCAGTCTGGTCTCTTTAGCATCTAAATAACTTATGTGGCAACGTTGTTGTGCTTAGAGAGCTTGGCCTTTTAAACCCCAGTCTTAAAACCCACCCACCCCCCGGCCCCCCTATTTTTCCCCCCTCCACACCAGTCCCAGGCCCAGATAATGCCCAGATAGCTAGAAGCTGAAACAAAGCGGGTTGTTGTATTGGGAAGTTTCTAGTACCTGTCATATTTTGACATTTTATGCTGTTGAATTTTTAGCAGCGTTGTTGGAAATTATCAAATCATTCTAAAAAGATTTTTTTTTTTATGACACATTATATGGTTTTCAAATAGTTTCAAAGGAATACTTATTAAAATTGAATAAATATTTTGTCTTAAAAAATCTTAATGCTTCTTTAACTTTATTATTTGATTTGTTTAATTCTGAATGAAACCTTCTCTTTCTTCACCACTTCCTAAAGCCTAAGGGTATACGCCCAAACATCCACTGGATAAGGCAGATGATTATTATTTGATAATTCCCTAAACCAAATTATATATTCCCTTGTCAATTTTTTCTTTTTTTTAAATTTGGTGAAATTTAGTGAGTGAACTCTTTAAGTAAAGCAGACAAAATTGTGAAAATCTTTTCACAATGTTATTATATTTGTGTGAAGAAAGAAAGGAAAGAAAATTATCTCTGTTTTCACATTGTCCTTATTAAAAAAAGTCAAGAAAATTAATTATTTAGAAAAAACGAATTTTGTTCAGAGTTTGTCAATTTGATAATGTTTGATTGGTTGTTATTTCTTATTTAAGTATAAAAAAAGATATAAAAAATTCTTTGTCTATAAATTTATTAAAACATGACTTTTTTTTTTATTTGTTAAAAAAAGAAATTTTAACAGACTTGTAATTACACCATTTACAATAAATTACTAGATCTGACTAATGTCAACTTGACTCTTCAATTCAATTTTTGAAAATAACTTTTTTCCCCTGTTTGTGGTCAAAGACGCTCCTGAGTAAAACTAATGCATTGATCAGCGCTAAGTACTACCATTACCATTGTGAACCAAATGCAGTTACAAGAGTGAATGATGCTGGTCCTATCCTCGAAGATGTAAGACTAGCCGGAACGGTGGCTTAGCTTGATGGTTTAGGGAAAATGTAAAAGAGGGCTCTGGATAGTAAGCAACTAAAAAAGTGTGTGTGTGTGGGGGGGGGGGGTTTGGCATTGATTGATTGTGTTGGGACTACTGAAATACGGTCTTAGGTTTTGAGACAATCTAGATTTGTCTTCTGGTTTTAATGTAAGACTAGCCGGAACGGTGGCTTAGCTTGATGGTTTAGGGAAAATGTAAAAGAGGGCTCTGGATAGTAAGCAACTAAAAAAGTGTGTGTGTGTGGGGGGGGGGGTTTGGCATTGATTGATTGTGTTGAGACTACTGAAATACGGTCTTAGGTTTTGAGACAATCTAGATTTGTCTTCTGGTTTTTTCTTTTTGAATCAACTGAAATGAAGGCTTAGGCTTATTTAAAGAGAACAAATAAACGTGTCTATTTAACTCCCCATTTTTTATTTTTTTTTTAAAAAAGGGGGCAGTAACTTAAACTACGCAAACTGAATGTTATAATTAAGTATGATTATAATAATATAAAATTATAATATAAAATTATTTCTACATTATAAGTCCCCAACTGCTGCATTCTCCAAGTGATCTCTTCTCTGTGGTGACTATCTGTTTGAAATAACCCATTTTGTAGAACACAGAGACTGATGATATTTTACGGAAAGCATAATCAAAACATTTCCAATTATCAGAGATTATTTGGGGGNGGGGGGGGGGGGTTGGTTTAGGTGGGGATTGAGTGCTAACCTTTTTACATTTATTTGTAAAAATAAATGAAAACTTTTTAGCAATATATAATAGATTGTAGCTTAAAAGTTGTTGCATCTTTAATTGTATCTGTATTCCTCTTATTTATTTATATTCCCCTTTCCACGCATACATTCAATGACTTTCAGAGGACAAAAGAGGCTCCAGCCATCGCCTATTTTTTTAATGCCTTATTTAGATTTTTATTACTTGACTTTTAGTTGTACCTTGATGGATCAATTTGAGGTTCTTAAATTAGCACTGTTGTGAATAATTAATGCATCTATGCATTGGCTTCACAATTATTACGGATCACTTAAGTAGAAATCCACCAATTAGTGAGTGTGTGTTTTCACATATTTGTTTGATAAAGAATTTATTCCTGGTTGTTGCTTTAAACCACCTTAAATAAATATTTTTGGGACCTTTCTTGAGTGTCCTCATCACAAAAGCAGTCACTATATATTTGATGCAGATCAAAATCAGATTTTAGCCTATCAATTATTATTAGTTATAGTTATATATTAGTTTTTTCCCAAGTATTTCGAAAAACTGTTTTCATATTTTTGTGATGAAAATGAAGTGGAGAGTGGGTCATTGTTTAAAAAAAAAGTTCATGCAGTTCCATACTGAAGTGAGAGAGATCCTCTTTTAAAGAGATTTTGTATGAATCTTCTGGCCAAATTATTTCTATACCTCCATTACCATCTGAAAAGAAAAAATTCCAATACGTATTGAAAAGAAGAAAAAACATTGGAAGTCAGAAAAATATTTACACAGGTCTATATATTTACTTTCAAACACATTGCAGTGAAATAAAATTGATCAGCAGTAACTGTTTTCATCTATGGGCTCAAAAAAAGATATAGCTTAATTAATACTAAAAGTTACTGTTAGAACAGAAGAACTTTCCTTTAAAAAAAATATTAATTTAAAAGTCTTTAATATGACTTATTTTAAATCTTAGAAATAAACCAAATTATTCGTAGTTAGGGTTCTAACATTTGAAATGTTATTCATCACTGCACACAGTGATGCCTTACAAGAACCTAAGCTATTGATCTAGATTCAGTGGCTTTCATCGCGGTAATATAAGCAAAAGTTATTACGATACATCCTTGTATTAAAAGCATATATTTTTTTAATAAATAAAAGATGGACATACAAGATTTTTGTCTCTGTAGATTGTTTATTTATACTTATTTAACATTATGTCTAAAACTCTTTTTTTTTAATTTTCCCATCAAGTTCTAATTGATGAGCTCACAAGAAACACTAGAATACACATTAAAGCTATGACCAAAAGCTAAGGGTATAAACTTAACAAAGTAAATCCTTACACAAATTTACATTCACACAGTTTCACAATTTTTTTTGGGGGGGTTGGCGTGTTTTGTTATAATTATATTTTAGAATACATACCCAGCCAAACAATAACTCAATGAGAGATTCAGAAGTGCTGGTTAAAAAAAAATTTACAGGGAAAGTTATATCTCTGATTTATACATGAATATAAACAATTTTGTCACAAGCTTGAAATAAGTTAATTAGCAGTTTACCATGCACTGTTTTACAAGTGTGTTACCGTCTTAATATGCAGATTCTAAAAAAGCCATATTGACCTCAAAAATTCACACACAAAAAATAGCATAAAAAATTATCATTAAATATCTATCTAATATTGTTATTTCAGCTTAGCATTTTTTTTATCCCCATAACTAGCAAAATTTAAATTATTAAAAGAGTCACACAATAAAATAAAAGAAATATTAGCTAACGTGACAAGCTTTTTATTTCATTGATGCCGCGATGAAAGAAAAAAAAGATAAGTTTATACTGAAGAAATGTTTTAAACTAAAGATTAAAATTGAAAAAAAAAAAAAAAAAAGAAGAAAAAAAAAAATAAAAAAAAAAAAAAATAAAAAAATCAAAAAAAAAAAAAAAAGAAAAATTAACTAACGTGAAAAGCTTTTTATTTAAATGAAGCCGCGATAAAAAAAAAAAAAAAAAAATTTATAATGAAAAAATGTTTTAAACTAAAAATTAAAATTGAAAAAAAAAAAAAAAGGAGGAGAGGATCTTTTTATAATAAATAGCTTGAATATTAAAGGCAGTTAGTTAATAGTGCAAAGCAATACAAAAATATTTGACTTTATTGCAAATGAAGCATTATTCTTTTGGCATCTCATTTAAAATAGAACAAGACAATAAAGGAGCTTAAATGTAGAAAATGTTTTTTTGTGAGTATTCAGCCTTGGTATAAGTATTAAGTATAGAATAATGTATTGCATTTATTAGTGATATCTTATAACAAACCGGTTATCCACAATTTATAGAACATACAGTTACCAAACACAAAGGCTCTTGTAAAGTAATAGGCTAAAATTACAAACTGCTGTATTAAAAGGTAAAGGCAAATTACACATAAATAACCGTAGCTATAGATAAAAACAGTAAAAATATGGCTCTGTATTTCAAATGTTAAAATGTATTTTTGATTGCTTGAATTGTAAGTACTGAGTATTTCAGAACATTGAATTTGCGATGAGCATAATAGGCACACAAAAGTAGGTTTTATTGCTCATGAATTTACCAGATGTTGAAAGTTAGCCAAATGACTAGTAAGTCTGTGGCATTTAGTTTCCATGCCAAGTTTCTGCATACTCTGTGGAAATGATGGGCAGAATTTCCAACTTAATAAATGAAAATTTAAGAATACATTTTAAAGTTTCAAAATTTGTACAGACAAACATGTTTTTTATAGACATATTATAAAAGACTTGTTAGCAATTTCTGTTTTTTTTTATTGACTCATAAAAGACTTAGTCAAAATTTCTGTTGTTTTTTTTTACAGACGCATTATAAAAAAGACTTAGTTACAATATCTGGGTTTTTTACGGACACATACTAAAAGACTTTTTTTCAGACATCCTAGAATTCTAATAGGCAAGCCCAGGTGACTCACATGAGGCAGCCATATTGTTATTGGCCATGTTGTATTTTTTTTTTAATTCATAGTTCAATTATTCTTTAAATAGCCTTGAATAAAAATACTATTAATATTAAACTGGACCGCTGATAAATTTTAAATGAAAATAATTTGCTGAAATGAAATGCCTACATTTAATAATCTGGTGATCCTTTCTTAAGAAAGCTACTTTTACAGAAGGGATTAAGGATCATTTTACTTCATTTAAATGATTATAAGTAATTTAAGTATTAAAATTCAATAATCTGACTACCTGTGATTTAATTACTGTAGCTCTTGTTGGACAGTTGTATAAATAGTGATTTTTTATTTTTTTTTAAATTCATTTATTTATTTAAATATATTAATTAATGCCTTAAGATTTCTATCTGGGGTAGTCATATTTGTTTACAGAGAATCTTTGATTTTCATTTTTAGCTTGCAATATTTAATTAATGCATTGAGGATGCTACAAAATTATTTTTTTTTATAAAAGCTTGTATAAATAAACTGGAGGATAGATTTATCGTAGATCAATACAAAAGTTACACCTAGGTCATCATGCTAAAATGTGTTATGCACATTAAATAGATTTAGCTATCTTAACTCTGTCAAGCCATTTTCCCCCAAAACAACTCACCCCTTCCATCCCCATTCATGCACAGTTGATCTCACACTAAGGAACACTGACAAAAAAATAAATTTACAAAAAAAATAAATTTAGTCTCAAGATGATTTCAACCTCAAGGTCAGGTAATTGAAAGCAGAAGATTCTCATCAGAGCATATCAAATAATCTAATCAATCATTATCATTAACTTGATATAATAAATTTAACAATAAACTGGATAAAAGTGATTTTTTTTTTTGGTGTAGTGTAGACTAAAAATAATGACATAAAAGTTTCTGCTGTTACAGCTGTATGTTGGGATATATATGCGTATTTTAGGACATGTAAGCTTAGTATTAGAATCAAAATTAGCCCTCATCATGATCTCTTGAATGAGCAACTTAATTCAGATGTATATCAATTTTTTTTAGAATAAGAGTCAATCCCCAAAATTTAAATAAATATATAGCTTTGAAAACAAGTTCAAAGTTTGCACTGAATTATAGACCTAAAAAAATGGTTACTAGGCCTGATATTTAAAAAAAAATATATTATCCAGTTTTTGTGTCAATTTAAAATACTTTCTTATTCAACATGCTCTTTTCATCAACTCTGGGGACCATAAAAATTTGGCTATCAAAATTAATTTTTTTTACACATCAATTTTTTAAGTTAGTTTAATGACTTATTAAGTGAGATAATTAAACTCAAGTAAAATAATTAATTTTTTTTTCTTTGAAGCTGGTGATAGCAATTAGGCTATGCAGCTAATAATTTTTATATCCCTTCACATGATATTACAAGAATTTAGAATGCCATTAAGTTTGTGTGGCAAGAAAATATTTGATTTCAAATTGACATTTGTTGAAAACATTTTTAGTTTAACTTCTCTTTTTTATTTCTTATTTGTGAAGAGCTATCACTTTTGATAATGACATCATGTATTGGAAAAAAACAAAAATTTTTTTAATCCTCTGACTACTTCTGTTGTCGTTTAGGACTGATTCCAACCTTTCGATTAGGGAATCAACTTTATAAAATAATGTATTCTATAAAAAGGAGCAAAGAGTTCCCAGTTGCGTCATGTGAAAAGAACTATTGCTAACCCACTTTCTTGAAAAATAAAGATATTAGCATGTTGAAACCAAACTTGATAAGTATAATGATATGAAGCACTTAAACAAAACAACAACAAAATCATTGGGAACAATCACAACTAAAGGTCTCATAGTTAAAATTTAAATAATGAAAAAAGATATTTTGGAGACTCTTCACAAAAACAATTTGCATCACATAAAATAAGTTGTCAGCACAACAAATACTTTTCTTTCTTTCAGACAAATTAAGGGTATGCAAGCACAGTGACATAGCTATAATTATTAGGTGTTATGTTAACCAAATTGGGATAGATAGATATATATCAGTATGAAACTTAATGCTGAAATATGCTTGGTGGTGGTTGTATTATGTCACTGACATTAATGACAGCTGAGAAATTTGATTTTTAAAAATTCAAAGACTAAATATGAACATTTAACTTAATTGCACCAGTTTCAAAGTTTCCACTCTGTTAGTTATTAAATTTAAATAGATTTTCTTTATTGTTAACATAAAGACAAAAATTCTATCAGATCTCAATTAAACAATTTACAGCATTTGATCTAATGAAGTAAATCAAGGGGAGTTAAATCTATTCTAGTGGTGATAATTATTTTGTACAAGTTCATGCAAAAGAATTCATTTGAGAACAGTTGATAAAATCGAGGTAAAAGTTTAAAATTACCACAAAGTTCACTAAAGTTATTAGACACGTATGACTAGAAAGTTGGAGGTAAATACAAACAAGTGTGAGTAGATTTACAAGAAATGGAATCAGCTATACATTTGTGTGTATATTATGTACATAGAGCAGTCAAATGGTGTAAGTACAGATAAATCAACAATGACCTAGCCAGCAATATTCAACTCAATAGTGAAATATTGTTAGGTAAAACTTTGTCGCAGAATGAACTAAATAACAAAATAAAAATATAAAAACAACAGAAGGCAACCTTTGAAGTTATTCTCACAGAAGTATTGTATCATGTAAACACTGGAAGGATTTTAAACACTCATCTTTAAGTTAAAAAAAATAAAAGAAAGATTTCAGAAATTGTTTTACAAAAAACGTATTTAATTTATCAAATGGATAAAAAAAATTTACTAAAGGGAACTTTTCTTTCCTTGCACATATTGAAATTATGCATTTTTATTTTTAAAAGAAAACAAAATTAGAAAATAAAAAATAACTTTTATTTTCAAAAAGGGACCCACTAAAATAATTTAGGGAAGCAATTTATTTTTTAGAAAAAAGATTTTGAAAATAATAATCAACAAAAGAGATCAAAATACAAAGATATGAGGTGGTAACAGAATAATTACATCTGCTTGGTAATGATGTATAAGATTAACTGACTTAATGGGAATATGAAGTTTATATTTAAATCTTTCATTACCTTATTCAGAATATTAAACACTAAATATATTTGGCGGAGTTTACTTAAACATTACTGTTTTTGTTTTTTTGTCATTGAAAATCCAAAATCAAATTTCATATTTTAAACTTTGCCTCTGACCTTTAATAGTAGCATAACCAGCCCATTGGAGAACAAATAATTATACATATTAATTTTCAAATGATGGCATACCACAGGAAGTAAATCATCATCCTTTTTGATTTTAGGGAGAGAAAAAAAATTAACCCCATTCATTTTAAATAAACAGGTGACACATTAACAAATCACTAAAACATCTAGTAGGTAACAGAAAATAGCTAACGTCGGTAATAGTTTAAGCAGATTTTCCACGCCCCACTATGACATAAATGAATGCTGTCACTAATGACATCACAGCTGCACCAGCGTTGAGCCAGAATGACCATCCGAATTTGACATAGTTGGTGCTACTTCTCTCCAGCTCTACGCTGTGAAATTTGTTGGCACACACTCCGAAGACAACTGCTGCTACTCCGAGGTTGATAACTGTTTGAGGCAAAGAATACAGCATTTATGTTAAACATCTACAGATTAAACCGGTGATCATCTACCTTCCTAAAGGCCGTAACTTCTTAATAAAGTTCCCCATCTTGTGGTGGTGCCCCCTCCCCCCAACCAAAAATTATTTCCGTTGCTACTTCATAAATATGTGTTTTCCGATGTTCTTTGTCGAACACTGTGTAAGGGTCGTTCGATCCCACCATCCCCCCCCCCAAGTGGTCACGACCCAAATGTTGACTAAACACTGGCTATGACAATTTAAACATGTTAAAGAGTTATTCCTCCTATTTTAAGCCCCACCCCCACGCCAAACCCCACAATGTCACTGATATCACCAAATGAAATAAAAATCCAGATCACTGCGCTAATAGAGTTGCGTAAAAATATCGCAAGTGCGTTTCGTGCGTAATATGTTCTTTTATTTGTCTGAAACAGTTTGTGAAATAAATCTTCGGTGTAAAAGCGGGTGTGTCATGAGAATATTATTATAAAATAAAGTAATGAAAATTGCAAATAAAGGATTTTTACGAAAAGCTTTGTATTTAGAAGTTGTTAAATTAGAATTCACGTAATTTTTTTTTTTTTTACTACCGGGTAGTAGAAAAAGTTCGTGGGTGGCATGATAAGGTTTGGGGCATGGGTAAAATAAGGCTGGGAAACCCTGGTATAGTTCCCCTCTAACTGAGCTTGCAAGTTATGTCATGGAATTCTTTATTGTTCAATAAACGATGCTCTAAAATTATTTTTAAAAATTTTCAAATGTGGGCCATAAATAAGTGTTTAAGATATAGGGTTAGTCAGAATAGAGAGCATCCTCTAAATCACCAATCTGCCGCAGTGATACACACGGATTATCGCATGATACTACGCATTGAGATATGTAACATGATATTATCTCCGAGTTGTAAAAATATATATATATATTACATATAAATATATAAATAGGATCTAACGTCATACATACATGCCAGCAGCAGAAGTCCGCCAATAGCATGGCTGGCGTTGCAGCCCCTGCAGTCGCAGCACAGAGCAATGGTGGCCAGCAGAAGTGCGAACAGGCACAGGGCGAGTCCGAAGCACATCAGGCCTAATGTAGCAATCCACCATCCTGTCGGGAAATTATTGAGAGCATTGGGATTGATCATTTTATTTATTCATTTTAAAAAAAAAATGTTGCACTATGTCAGTGGTCGACAAACTCATTAGTGAAAATAGCCAAAAATCAGCAGGAGGGCGAATAAAAAAAATTTGAGAGCCAAATTTCTTTTCAGGAACATGTCAAGAACCATGTTTTTTCGGAGTCAAAACCGATTTGTGGCCGGCTGGCCGAGCCGCACTCAGGTCGCTAAAGAGCCGCACTCAGGTCGCTAAAGAGCCGCACTCAGGTCGCTAAAGAGCCGCACTTAGGTCGCTAAGGAGCCGCACTCAGGTCGCTAAAGAGCCGCACTCAGGTCGCTAAAGGGCCGTGATTAGCCGACCACTGCACTATGTTAATATCCGTGCCTTCAAATCAATACATGGATCTTAACACAAGTGCCTTTAAGATTCAAAAAGCAGATTGAAAGAACAAAGCAAAAAAAAACAAAACAGAAAACAAGCAAAAAAAAATTCTTAAATTTGACCACGAAAGTGTTGGCCCTCCACCGACAGAGTCACGTAAGATAGGTAGTTGGCCCTCCACCGACAGAGTCACGTAAGATAGGTAGTTGGCCCTCCACCGACAGAGTCACGTAAGATAGGTAGTTGGCCCTCCACCGACAGAGTCACGTAAGATAGGTAGTTGGCCCTCCACCGACAGAGTCACGTAAGATAGGTAGTTGGCCCTCCACCGACAGAGTCACGTAAGATAGGTAGTTGGCCCTCCACCGACAGAGTCACGTAAGATAGGTAGTTGGCCCTCCACCGACAGAGTCACGTAAGATAGGTAGTTGGCCCTCCACCGACAGAGTCACGTAAGATAGGTAGTTGGCCCTCCACCGACAGAGTCACGTAAGATAGGTAGTTGGCCCTCCACCGACAGAGTCACGTAAGATAGGTAGTTGGCCCTCCACCGACAGAGTCACGTAAGATAGGTAGTTGGCCCTCCACCGACAGAGTCACGTAAGATAGGTAGTTGGCCCTCCACCGACAGAGTCACGTAAGATAGGTAGTTGGCCCTCCACCGACAGAGTCACGTAAGATAGGTAGTTGGCCCTCCACCGACAGAGTCACGTAAGATAGGTAATTGGCCCTCCACCGACAGAGTCACGTAAGATAGGTAATTGGCCCTCCACCGACAGAATCACGTAAGATAGGTAATTTAAATAGATGTGTGTCATTTGAAAACGTTTTAATAACTGATAGAGAACCAGGATTCTTATTTATTTTTTTTTTTAAACGCGTTTCACCGTTACAAGCTGAAGGTCATTTTTCTAAACTCTGGTCACACGTTTGTATTGCAGATTCGCTCGATGGTTTGGCGTTTGTCTAGAGAGCACTACCCCCCCCCCTCCCCGGTGACCCAGTTCTTGACTGAGTAAGCCAGAGGCGTAAGTACGCATGAGAGAAAAGGGGGAGGAGACGACTACTTAAGGGGCACTTTCCTGTTCATGTTTATTATTGACATTATTTAAAGACGTGGGGGTGGGGAGCGCAATTTTGGGAGTTCACCCCGCGTGGCATTTAGTCGAGGTACGCAACTGCGTGAAGCTGACCTAGTCTAGTGAGAGCAAATATTACCGTACACAGGTTGTATTTTCGGCGCGTTTCTCTGAGGTCTGCCGTCTTTGCTAACTGCCATTTCTTTTGCTGCCCACGGATTCTACGTCCAAGCTAAGTGATATTTCTAATTTTTATTTTTATACCGTCTTTTTCTGTTGTTTTGTTCGCTGACGAAGGCTTTCTGCCGACACGCTCGTTATTTTGTTGCGTTTTTTTCAGGTTTAACCCTACTCTGTTTTATTCATTCTACATTGTGCTAACCTGATTGCAGTCTCTCCCCCTTATTACCCTTGCTAACTGCCTCATCGTCCCGTTATCCCGATCACATGCCATTGGCCCACATCGTCTCAGCTTGAAAAAAAATATAAAAAGAGATTGGTTGTAAATTAAACGCAATAATAGCCTATACTTTCTTACCAGAGTTGACGTCGATTCGGGAAAGATGTTTATAATTGTCTTCAAACACCCAGGTGCATGAATCCGATTTGCAGAAGGCCCACAGTCCTTGGTTTGAGCCCATGCTAAACTCCACCCAGTAAGGCGTGGCGAAGCAGATGATGACCGCAAGGTTGGTCAGGACCAGCATCACCAACCCGAACACCGAGCCGCAGGCCGTCATGGTTTCAAGACTTGGATCGTGACGTCACAGGAAATGGCGTGTCCTAAAGATGATCCGTGGTGAATGAATACGTCACAGCGTTTGGATCCTCAAACCAAAGTTTTAAACCACTGTTGTTGCGATAGTTTGTGAATCACTGTACTTAAATTGTTATATTTGTGAATTTAGTTTTGCTTGAAAGCTTAATTTTATATGGCAGTTTAAAAAAACAACTGACTGAGAGTTTATTTTCTTTTATTTTTTATTGGAAAAGGTCCTAGCTTAATCAAGGTATAAACTTTAAAAAAGAAGAACCTAAAAAAACAAAAAAAAAATAAAAAATCAATTATTTAATTTCTTTTTAAAAATGCAATGTAAAAGTCGATGCCTGTAAATCCTTAAAAAACAGAAATCAATGACGTCATTTTAGGAAGTTTAAAAACATATATATAATTCTAGCCCGTGTTGGAAATCTTATACTTGAGCCGTTTTTCAGCCTGAAATAGAAAAAGAAAACAGAAAATAAGACACAAATAAAAACACAAACAGTGCATCCAGAAACTGTTTAAAGGAAAATAATGTTAAATAAAACCCAACTGATGACACAAGGGCACCGTTTTTCACCGGGATGGAACAAGGGGGTTGGGGGGGGGGGGGCATAACAAAGTATGTCTCTTCAGTATTCCGCATTCAGGGCAAAGGAAAAGCAGCGTGAAAAGATGTTACGTTACGAGACCGCCAGAGGCGTGCGTGGATAGATCACACGAGTGCTGCTTATTCGCAGTAGGGCAGGAGCAGAGGTGTAGTGAAGGGGGGGGGCGGGGGACAGATGTCCCCGTGCGCCAGCTAGTTAGAGGCGCCAAAATGTGCTTTGATATGATTTTATTGATGAAAATAATGGGTTTGAGAGTTGAAAAAAAAGAAAAGGGACGCTTTTAAAATGAATCTTGTCCCTGGGCGCCAAACACTCTCGCTACTCCCCTGGGCACGAGATACCCGAATGAAAAAAGGAGGGGCAAATACATATCATACCATTGAACAATAATTGCATGTAACAAGGAAAGAGTCGAGTGGATTTTTTTCCATAAAATTAACGGAAGAGTAATGATAGCGTCAAGAGGAAAATAAATTATAGATGAATATCCCTTTGTGCTGGTGAGGAGATGTATTTACATTTTTTGAAAGATGAGATGGCAACCACTTGAAGGTGAAGATCGAAAAACACGTTATGACAGTTGGCAATTGAAGTAAGCATCAGATATTTTTTTTTGGCTGGTTTTCGTGTGAAAACAATCCCAAGTAAATGTGCGGTTTAATTTTTACACAACGTATCATACATATTTAAAAATAATAATAAATACCCCCTTGCACCAAGACAAATACTTGGGAAAGCAATTTTTGCCCCCCCCCCACCCCCCGCCCCCACACACACACACTTTTTAATATATCTTATTTGCTTCTTGAAATTTATCATAACGAATTTTAATAAACCGCAATTAAACTCAAACAAATAAAAAAAAAAAGGAAAATGACACCAGGCCAGCGTTGTGATAAAATCAATCCTTTCCAACCATTTCAGCCGGTCACATTTCTTATATAAATATATATATATGGCATCCTGCCGTCTTCGCGATACGATTGAGTAGCTTATGTAGACATCAACAAATTATGGCTCACTGGGCCGATCCTGGAATGACGGTCTCGTCTGCATTGGTCGCAGGGAGAACCTTGACTCGTGTTTAGATTGGGCCTTCTGTATTGCTCTTTTTGTTGCAAGACCTTCGTTATGCACATCTTCTGCCTTTTTGACGCCTTCACACGCTGCTGTTCGCCAGCTGGAACGTTGTTCAGCAATGAGCTCCCAATTCGTTGATTTCTATGTTGGTCTCCCTCATGCTGATTTCGCAAACGTCCCTAAATCTCAGCCGGGGCCTTCCCAAAGTCTTGCCCCTTTCTGCCAACGCTCCATACAGAAGCTTCTTTAGAATACGACCTTCCTCCACTCCCCCTTGCATGGCCTGTATGTATCAGTAGAATCAGAGGAAACAGTAAGATGAACTTGAGATGTAGAAAAATCGTTTAGTAGGCCAGACATTTCTCACAGACATTTCTTAATTGCTTACCACTCGGACGCTGGACAAGATAATGGAATACCCCCGACCCATAGATTCCGATTCCCCATATTTAAACCAGAAATATTGAATTCCTTAAAGCTTTTAACTTTATAGCAGAGAAGGTTCTATTGTAATACGAATGAAAAATAAAAGATTTCAAAATTGAATAAACTATCAAAAGTCTGAGTATACGATTTCTTTAAGAATGAAAACTTAGCACCACTATCCGGTACCTCTTTTCCCACGCCTCCACCCCAGCAACCCGAGGCATGATCTCCAGTGTTTCCGAGATGTATAGTTAGATATAAAAATAAGTAATTATAACATATATTTTTTAAAAAAATCTTTCACTGGCATAGACAACTGCAACCAGGGTTTGGGACTGGAAATGGGGTTGGAAAGTGTTTGGGAAAGGGTTTGGATGGGGCTGGGAAGGGGGTGTAAGGAGGTCGGAAAGTGGTTGGAAAAGGGTTTGGAAGGGGCTGGGAAGGGGTTGGAAAATAGTTAGGAAGGGGTTGGGAAGGGGTTGAAAAAGGGTTGGAAAAGGGTTCGGGAAAGGGCTGCAAAAGGGATGGGTAGCGGTTGGAAAGAAGTTTGGGAAGTGGTTGAAAATTGGTTGAGAGGGGGTTGGAAAGGAGTTGTTAAGGGGTTGGAAAGGGATACGAAAGGGTTAGGGGAGGAGATGAGTGGTAAAGAGAGCAACCCTTAACGTGAATTTGAATTGAGGAAAAAAAAAACTATTTTTTTCATGACTCGTCCAACGTCAGCCGAGCGAGAAACTCTGAGATACAGAATTGATAATAATATGGAGAAGAGAAAAATGTTTGGCTGCCGAATTTATTGATCGAGATTCAAGATGGCAATCTACAGGCGGCCTTGAGACCACTATTAGAATAGAAACGAGGTCAAGCATAATCCAGTAGCCTGATCTGAATTCAACGTCGCCAGCTGTACGGTTTAATGCTCCGAGATCGTGGTAGCGCATTGTGCACTGGCTGTCCCTGAATCCGCGGTCATGACGTGCGCACCAGACCGCACGGAAAAGTGCATTTGTGAAAAAAAACGTGTTTACTGCTCACTTGTGAACTTTGAACTGTTATTTGTTTTCTTTTAATCTATAAGGCACGCGACTTACGAATTTTAACGATGAACCAGGAAATAACTCACTCAAATAATATTGGCAATGTTGGCTGATGCGTGAGGACTTACGTCACTTTAAAGTGCATTTATACATATATTATATATATATATATATATATATATATATATATATATAAATATATCTTTGAAATGTGGACACCTAGTAATTGGCTATGTTGTGACTAAGGCGATACGTCGTAATGCCAGCAGGGTTTCCTTTAGCTATATCTCGGGGGGTGGGGCACTGCCCGGGGAAAGCAAAGCGCCCCCTCCCCGGAAAGAAAATATGTCCAATAATAAATCAACTGGCACTGCTAGCACTGTCCCCCCACCCCCCCCACCCAACCGAAAAATCTGAAGTGCCCCCCCCC